AGCGGCGCAAGGCGCAGAAGCAGCGCTTGTCTGCGTGGCACCACCTGGAAATGAATGGAACCGAACTGGCCTCTGGCACGGTATCCCTCTGCCAGCTGCAGTCACTTTCTCTGGGCTCCGCTGCTGGGCGCCTGCTCCCTTTCTGTTCTCCACCAGGCCTGGCTAGCAGTGCGTCCACCACAGAGGTGCTCCCCTCCTCTTTCAGACTCTGCCTGCTTGGGTGTCTCCCTTGGTGAGTCTGATTCTCCCTGCCCAGAATTTACCCCTCCCTCACTCCCTGTATTAAGAAAGCCTCTGGACGTATCTCTAGGAATGAGAGGGACCTGCCCATCAGTTCTGTTAGATCCACTTGTGAAATGCCCAGACAGCATGTCCGAAGGATGGCAGACAAACCAAGGTGGAGTTCTGAAATTGTGGAGTTGCCCAGTCATGCCAGACCCCCGCCATTCATGCTACAGCTCTTAAGTGGTGCCACCTACACAGTTTCGAGTCCTGGGGGAAACTGGGCATGGAGCTGTGGCTTTGCTGGCCTCTTGTTCTGACAGGAGGAGGTGGCCGGCACTCCAGAGCACAATGAGGAAATGGCCTAGTGCCAGGCTGGGATTTAGAGAAGGCTGGCATCCTGTGATTACTGCTGCCCATTTACAAGTTGAGTGGGAAAGAACTTCTGTCTCATGGAAGAGCCAGCAGGGGTGGCAACGACCCTGAACATTGTGACATACCTGCAAAACGGAGCACAATTTGAATACCCGAAAAACCTCTCTATGGGGCAGTGGCGGCGGTCTTCTGTAAACTCAGGGGTCTGATTCTTTCCAGCTGAGTTTCTATCATCAGGGTGGCTTCAGGATGCAACCGTCCCTGGCAGGCTCAAAGTTGCAATCCCTAGAAGCCTAAAATGGCTTCACAGATCCTCCTTTGGCCATTATCCAGACCCCCAATGCAGCCTCAGCGCCGTCACCAACCGTCCTCTCCTTTTTAGAATGAGAGTTTTAAGACGAGGTTGGGCAGCCACCTATGGGGGTGCTTCAGCTTGGGTCCTGAACTGGGCAGGGGGCTGGACTGACGGGCTTCCAACTCTGAATTTCTATGATACCACCCAACTGAAACTCACACATGAGAATTTGCCCTGGAAGCCCACTCTCTCAATCCCAAGAAGGAATGTTATGGTTAAAAGGAAACTGAAACTGAAAAGAGAAGGTCAAATTTGTTCAACTTTAAGATTATTTTAAAATTCTGATAGAAAGTATGCACCCAATTTAAAAATGTGCAAACAGGATAGTAGAGGTTGTACAGTAGTGGAAAAGCAGAATAGAGGGAACTTTGGGGGAGGGATCATGAATGCTGGCAAGGCAAGGGGAGCTTGTAAGGGCCAGGCAAAAGCACCACCCCCCAAATCAACCAGGAAATTCAGGAGGGGCTTCACAGATGGGCAGTATCTGTCGGGGATTTTGCAGTTAAATCCTGGGCACTTACATTGGACTATGATTGTAGGTCTGCAAATGCATGAGAAGTGAGAAAGTTGGTGGGAGGGAGAGGACAGCGCTCAGAGAGGGAAAGGGTTGTGAAAATGTTTCAGAAGAACTAACAAGGGGGGCAAATGGGGCCACTGAGGAAACTGGGTCTAAGGAACACCTGTATGGAAAACTGGTGAGAAAGGATGGGTCTCTAGGGCCTCCTGAAGGAGTGGAGGTTTGTGGGAGATACCAGAACAAAAGAGTGTCCGTGGCATATGTCAGAAATAAAAGGAAAGCCCAGGAGGGTGTTGGTCCACTGGGAGCAGAACAGGCTGAATGGG